CTATTTGAGCAATTTGTCCTGAGTTGGCACTCTCAGTTGGGTTCCGCCAGAACCGCATTGTCACATCTTGCTTACAACACTCCTGCTAATACATCCCAGAATGATGTTCACTTTTTTTGCAACAGCGTTACACTGTTGACTCATATTTAGTTTGTGGTCCACTATGACCCCCAGATCCCTTTCCACTGTACTTCTTCCTAGGCAGTCATTTCCCATTTTGTATGTGTGCAACTGATTGTTCCTTCCTAAATGGAGTACTTTGCATTTGTCCTTATTGAATTTCAGCCTATTGACTTCAGACCATGTCTCCAGTTTGCCCAGATCATTTTGAATTTAAATCCTATCCTCCAAAGCACTTGTAACCCCTCCCAGCTTGGTATCGTCCGCAAACTTTATAAGTGTACTCTCTATGCCATTATCTAAATCATTGATGAAGGTATTGAACAGAACTGGACCTAGAACCGATCCCTGTGGGACCCCACTCATTATGTCCGTCCAGCATGACTGTGAACCACTGATAACTATTCTTTGGGAACCGTTTTCCCACCAGTTTTGCACTCACCTTATAGTAGCTCCATCTAGGTTGCATTTCCCTAGTTTATTTATGAGAAGGTCATGCGAGACAGAATCAAAAGCTTTACTAAAGTCAAGATATACCACATCTACCACTTTCCCCCTATCCACAAGGCTTGTTACCCTGTTAAAGAAAGCTATCGGGTTGCTTTGACATGATTTGTTCTTGACAAATCCATGCTGACTGTTACTTATCACCTTAGCATCTTCTAGATGTTTGGAAATGGATTGCTTAATTATTTGCTCCATTATCTTTCCGGGTACAGAAGTTAAGCTGACTGGTCTGTAATGCCCCAGGTTGTCCTTATTTCCCTTTTTATAGATGGGCACTACATTTTCCTTTTTCCAGTCTTCTGGAATCTCTCCTGTCTCCCATGACTTCTCAAAGATAAGCATGTAGGGACAAAATCAGAAACGCTAAGGCACAAAATGGGTTACACCGAGCAAGGGACATAAAAGCATAAGAAGAGGTTCTTTAAATACATTAGAAGCAAGAGAAAGACAAAGGAAAGTGTAGGTCCTCTACTTAGTGGGGAAGGATTGCTAACTACTGATAATCTCAAGAAAGCTGAGGTATTTAATGTCAATTTTGTTTCAGTCTTCACTAAAAAGGTTAATGGTGACCAGATGCACAATGCAATTAATATTAACAACCAGAGGGAAGGAACACAAGCCAAAATAGGGAAAGAAGAGGTTAAGGAATATTTGGATAAGTTAGATGTATTCAAATTGGCAGGCCTCATGAAATTCATCCTAGTGTACTTAAGGAACTAGGTGATGCCATCTTGGAAGCATTAGCAATTATCTTTGAGAACTTCTGGAGGACGAGTGAGGTCCCAGAGGACTTGAGAAGGGAAAACATAGCACCTGTCTTTAAAAAGGGGAACAAAGAGGATCTGGGGAATAATAGACCAGTCAGCCTAACTCCTAACTGGAACTAATCAGTAAACATTCAGTTTGTAAGCACCTAGAGGATAACAGGGTTATAAGGAATCGCCAGCATGGATTTGTCAAGAACAAATCATGCCAAACAACCTAATTTCCTTCTTTGAGAGGGATACTGGCCAGGGGAAAGGGAGGAAGCATAGATGTGGTATATCTTGAATTTATTAAGGTTGTTGACACAGCCCCACGTGATGGTCTCATAAGCAAACGAGGGGAAATACGATCTAGATGAAATTACTGTAAGGTGGGTGCACAACTGGTTGAAAGATTATACTCAGAATAGTTATTAATGGTTTGCTGTCAAACTGGGAGGGTGTATGTAGTAGGCCCCAAGGGGTCAGGCCTGGGTCTGGTACCATTCATTATTGTCATTAATGACTTGGATAATAGATTGGAGAGTGTGCTTATAAAATTTGCAGATGACACCAAGCTGGCAGGTGATGCAAGACCTTTGGAGAACAGGAGTAGAATTCAAAACAACCTTGACAAATTGGAGAATTGGTCTGAGTTCAACAAGATGAAATTCAGTAAAGATGAGTGCTAGGTACTACGCTTGGAGAGGAAAAACCACACGCACAACTACAAAATGGACAGGAGCTGGCGAGGCGGTCGCACTGCTGAAAAGGCTCTGGGGGTTATACTGGATCAGAAATTGAACAGGAGCCAAAAATGTGATGCAGCTGCAAACAAGGGCAATATAATTCTGGGGTGTATTACCAGGAGTGTTGTATGCAAGGCCAGGTCTACACTATAAACTGACATCAACATAAATACGTCGCTCAAGGGTGTGAGAAATCCACACGCCTTAGCGACGCAGTTATACTGACCTAACCCCTGTTTAGACCTCACTGTGTCAATGGGAGGGCTTCTCCTGTCCACATAGCTACCGCCTCTTTCGGGGTGGATGAACTATGCCAGTGGCAGAAGCTATCCCATCAGCGTAGTAGCGTCTTCACTGAAGCACTACAGCGGTGCCGGTGCACCAGCGTAGCTGCGCTGCTGCACCGTTTTGTGTGTAGACCTGCCCTAAGTCATGGGAGGTGCTTGCCTCACAATGCTTGGCTCTGGTGAGGCCTCAGCTGGAGTCCTGTGGCCAATTCTGGGTGCTGCACTTTAGGAAAGATGGAGACAAATTGGAGAGAGTCCAGAGAAGAGCAACAGAAATGATAAAGGGTTCAGAAAACCTGACCTATGAGGAAAGGTTAAAAAAACTGGGCATGTTTTGTGTTGAGAAAAGAGACACGGGGGGACCTGACAAGAGTCTTCGGCTAAGTTGGCTGGTATAAAGAGAACTGTGATCAATTGTTCTTCATGTCCACTGAAGGTAGGACAAGAAGCAATGGGCTTAGATTCATAGACTCATAGATCCCTAGGCCAGAAGGGACCACTGTGATCATCTAGTCTGACCTCCTGTGTAATGCAGGCCAGAGACCTGCCCCAAGGTAATCCCTAGAGCAGAGCTTTTAGAAAAACACCCAGTCTTGATTGAAAACTTGTTAGTGATGGAGAATCACCACATCCCTTGGTAAATTGTTCCAATGATTAATTACTCTCACTGTTAAAAAATGTAGGTCTTATGTGCCGTCTGAATTTGTCTAGCTTCAACTTCCAGCCATTGGTTTGTGTTATACGTTTCTCTGCTAGAGTCCCCAACCCTGTCAGTATGGCCTACATTCTTTGTTCCTAGACAAATACATTTACATTTAGTCGTATTAAAACACATATTGTTAGCTTGCACCCAGCTTACCAAGTGATCAAGAACAACAAGGAGTCTGGTGGCACCTTAAAGACTAACAGATTTATTTGGGCATAAGCTTTCGTGAGTAAAAAACCTCA